GGAAATGTTCTGGTGCCCTCGAGGAAGTGACCAATTCTCAACAAGAATTAACACTCGTCTTGCGACACATCAAGCTTCATAATTTTGCGAAACTCGACCGATAATGGTCTTATTGACAGTCCACGGTCACACTAGTCCTACTGGGCATGTTCCTGTGCCCTCGGGGAAGTGACCAATTTTAGACAACAAGTGAATTTTCAAAACTCGGCTGATTATAGCTTTATTAAGAGTCCACGGTCACATTGGCCCTCCCGGAAATGTTCAATAACGCCATTACCGGTAGAACGCGAACAAGGTAGAGCTCCACCGTAGGAGACAGTGCCCGGTCCGGCGGAGAAACCCCGATGGCAGAAAAATAGAAACATGAGGAACACACGATCAGTGCAGCCACCGACGGGGGGCTAGATTTGATCATACAAGTGGGCTTCCTTCAGAAAGGCGATCAGCGCAGCCAACGTCGAGGGGTCGTAGACAAGCAGATTACTGACGTTCTCCCGGAGTCCATGTTGTTCGCGTAGCTTCTGGAACTCCGGGCAGACACACAGCACGGGTTCCACCGAGGCGGGGATGCTGCAAATTGAACAGGCCTTGCGGAAAGGTGTCCCACCGAAATTACAGGAAATCCTCACATGGCCGGTCCGAAGTCTTGAGATGATCCGCTGGTCCTTGTACTTTTGACTGTCCAGTCAGGAGCGTACGGTTTCCTTGATATTCCTCAGGAAAGTGGTCCGCGACTGGAACCAATCCTGCTGCCAGGCTTCTATAATAGTATTCACAATCCAACGCTTGACGTCTAGGAGGGGTACGTTTACGGAGTGGCTCGGGGCTTCGGCTTCCAGCGGTTGGATGACGCTGTGTGAGTCAGTTAACACGAAGATCGGTTGATCTGCCGGAGTGATGGCTGCGTCTAGTATAGCTGCGGCTTCAGCGGAAAAGACGGAACACTCCTCCGGTAGACTTTGACTTCCGAGTCCAACTCCAGCCCGCGACCGCGATCCGTCCGTAAAGCGATGAACGTGCCCCGGATAAACCGACCCGAGAAGCTCTGCAACAGAATTGAGATGTTACAGAGTTATCTTCGGCTTGGAATTCACTCTTAATTCGCTTATCTATTTGCACGACGTTTGATTGCCAACTCTTCTCTCCATGCCAGTGGACTCTGGCCACCGGGGCGAGGTCACGGTTGGCTGCAGTGCGGAGGGCTCAGTTTCCCTCGTTGAGGAGAAAGACCCTTTCGTTCCCGGATGTTTTAGCGGCGTGGGCAGCGGCTTTCGGTAGCAATGGCTGCAGCAGATCGATAGCGGAAAGGGATGATTCCTATTTCCACACATGCGGTTTACGCAGACTTGAAAGGGAGAAGACTGGATACGATGCGTACGTAGGTATTGTATACCGGAGCGAGGATGTGGTTGAGCTTCTCGGTGGCTAAGCAGGTTATTTCGAGGCCGTAGAAAAGTTGACTGTCGATAACAGCCCGAACGACACGAAGGCGGATCTCACGGTTGCTCGAGCGATGCGGGACTGACTATGTTGATGCGGCTACGACAGTTTTCTTTTACCATCCTGAAGTGCTGGTTGAAGCTTAGGGTGCGATCCAGTACTACCCCCAGAACACGCACTGTTTTCTTGAGCGGAATCGGATGATCTTGGATGGTGATAGGTGGTCCTCGAATCAGATGGCCCGAGTGACAGATATGGCACTGTACACTCTTCGGCGCGGAGAGCTGGAAACCAATCGAAAGCGCCAAACCTGCTGACGGCGGAGACTGCTGCTTGAGCTATGTTCCTGGACCGCTTAGTCGTTCGTCCCGTTACGACGATGAGTATGTCGTCGGCATAAACGATTACGTGCACGTTCTTGGGCACCAGGAATAGCGTTACCGCTATGACGGATCCCTGGGGCACTCCAGTTTCCTCGGGGAACGGATCCGAGCGAGTGTTCCCGACAGTCACCTGGAAGGTACGATCAATTCCGTACAAAATGTGTGATGTGACCTTCCAGGCCCCAGCCGATGAGCTGCCTGATGACACCAGGTGTCCATGTCCTGTTGAACGCCTTTGAAATATCAAGGGAGACTAACTCCGCATGGTGACCGTTGTCCTGAGCTTCCTTAAGTACTTTCCCGAGGGCAGCAAAGTAAGTGGAAGAGCCGTGTCCTTGCCGGAACGCATGCTGCCGTTCGTCAAGGAGGCCGTTTGGCTCCAGGAACTGCTTAAGACGACGATTTACCATTCTCTACCTTCAATCGGTCTAAAGGAGGAGGCTTCTTCACTCGCCGTGTTGTTCTTCGGAATGGGCACAACCAATCTTTGTTTCCAGAGGTCCGGATACGAATCAGTGAGCCATAGATCGTTGAAGTGGGCGAGTAGCCTCGTTTTTCCGTCGAGGGAGAGGTTTTTTAACACCGGGTATCCAATCTCGTTCGGCCCGGCGGATTTACCACTACTGCTGCCTAGGGCAAATTGAAGCTCCCGGAAGGTAAGAGCTTCGTTGATTTGGAGAGCAGGAAAATCGGGTGGAATTCGCAAGTAGCGAATGCTGCTTGTGGAAGGTTTGATGCGCTGGACGAAATCGCTGTCGCAGCCACTGACAGCAGACAGGTCGGCAAAATATTTTCCTAATTCGTCAGCGATGTCCTTCGGTTCTGAGATCGAGGTGCCATGAGTTTGGATAGTAGGTGGAGTAGATCGCCGCTTGCCATTCAGAGCGTTGACGCGATTCCACAATTCACTCGACGATTGGGATTCGTCGATTGAATCCAGGAAATCCATCCAGCTAGATCGCTTTGCGTCATGGATCACCTGTCTGCACGAGAGATGGCGCTCTCGGTAAAACCTCAGCTGGCGTAAAGCAACTAAGGGCTTTAGACGTTATGCACGCAAAGGTCAATTCCAACCAACCATTTTGATTTTATTAGGGTTCTGTAGACCATGATTTAGACTTGTATAATGCTATAAAACCTCTCTCTCAATACTTGCAATGTTACTTGGGATGAAACTGTATTTAATGTATCGTAACTTACCCTTACAGATCTTAAACAGATCCAGAATTCTGGACTTTTCTGAAGTTTCAAAACTTCCTAGAAGTTCCCGCAGTATTCCTAAAGCTAATAGAACCGCAATAAAACTCTGGAAACATGACGTTTTGGGGAAGTTAAAAGAAAACCTGGCGGGAGAAGACGGAAGGAGCTTTCAAGGGAAGACGGAGTAACTTTCCGGGAGGAATCGGAAAATAACTTGCGGGGTAAGGTGGAAAAACATTTCATGGGAAAAGTTGGGAGTAACTTCCAAGGGAAGCTTAAATAAACAAAAAAATGAACATTTTGATGGACCAGTTTATTCACTCAATATGAGTATTTCCCGATTTCCATGAATTACCGGGAGAATTGGTAACCATCAGCTGTTTCTCGATTCCTGGGTAGCCAAAAAGGGCGAGGAAATGGAAAACATAGGAAATTCTTAAATGCAGCCATTCCATTGCAAAACGATAGAGTGGTTCTCATAATTTAGTAAAAATTTGAAGTTTTGTTCCTTATCGCAAAATATTCGACTCATTTTTTGTCATTAGGGATACCATTTCCAAGTTAGGGTGGTTCAAAAAATCTTTTTTTTTTCAAAGATGACTAAGAGATAATTTGACCATGTTACAGTCGCTATTAATCAAATCAATGGAGACGCATGGTAGTCTAGTCGCATAGGAGTATTGAGTGAAAACCCAAAATCTTGATAATTTCAAAGAAAATATAACTTAAAAATGAAAATCGCTGATTTTATTATATGTTGTGTAAAAAAGCCTAAATTGTAAATGGTCACCCTAATGACAAAATAAAAAATACGGGTCTAATATTTTGCGATTAGGACCAAAACTACTATTTTTTTAAGAAATTATAATAACCAATATATCGTTTTGCTATGGAATGGCTCAATATGAATAAGTTTTTTAGAATTTTGATTGAGGCTCTGATATTATTTGAGATATTCAAAAAGAAAAAAAAGTCTCACACAATGCTTTCCTCGGACCAGGGTGGCCAGATTATTTTTTCATTATCGGTAGCTTCTCAAAATTTTTATCGGTAGTTATCGGTAGGCCGTCTTAAGAAGGCTAAAAATTTGTGATTCTCGGTAGGAAAAGTGAAAAATCGGTAGTTTTTAACCTTTCGTCTGTGAATAGGTAGGCATCCCGAAAATCGGTAGATCTGGCCACCCTGCTTCTGACAGTTCAGCGTGAGTAGGCAGAAATCATTTTGATTATTAAACAAATTCGGTATAAATCGGTATAAAATCTCAAATATCGTTATTCTGAGAAACCTTACATCAAGCTTGAAAATCGCTCCATATCTGGCAACGCTGCAGGGAGAGGTGCGTTAAACTGAGAGTACACCACCTAGACCACAATCCTGAGTACGGCTCTGCTTATCAGCTCATGTTCTCACTCCACCATAGCCCACCATAGGTCGCTTTAGTTTTCGGTTCAAATTACAATTTTGCTTGTTAATTATTTTATTTTCATCCGTTGGATCTCCTCATCCTTCTGTTCGATGTTTTTGCATAGATGTGTTTAAGTGTGTGTGTGTGTGTCCGCTGTTTGTATATTCTCTATCTTGTATTTGCTTCAAATCTCTTCTTTCAAAAACTGCTCATCCTTTTGTACTCAACTCATAATGCTAACAAAATCGAAAAATAACTGCAAATCCCTCTTCCCCGTTCTTCTTTTTCTTTTATCTTTTAATCCGATAATTTGTCTCTAACGCTGCGCGCGCTTGTTCCCTCTCACCAACCTAATTGCCACAATTGAAAAATAAAAATAAAAAAAATGATACCTCATCATCGCGCATTGGTCAACGGGAAAAACAAAACGAAATCAATCGCTAACGAACCATACCACGTGCTCTTCTTTGCGTATCGCTACTAACCAAACTCAAAACTCACCAACACACTGCTAACCATCACCTAAACACACACCAAATACACAAACACGCCGCTGCCTGCCGGTCGTGCAGATCCGAGCAATCGTCCACTGTTCCCGCAATGGTCGCACCACGTCTATCCACAGTTCCTACCGGGTTCGCATCCGAACCACCAATCGGCGATGAGCGCACCTTCGTCATCGTCCGCCGCATCGTCGTCTCTGGTGGCCACTGCAGCGGCCGCAGCTGCTGCCGCCGCCGCTGCCTCTGGCCAAGCCCCGCAACTGATGAGCTCCTCCTCTTCGGCAGTGCTCGGTGGTGGTGGTAGTAGTGGAGGAGGCGGACCGATTCCGCACGCGGCCAACCTGCAGATGATGCACCACGGAAGCAACAATACGATCACATCGTCGTCCTCCCAGACGACCTCGTCGTCGTCGTCTTCGGTCGGTATGATGAACGGTAGCAACAATAACAACAACAACAACAACAATGGCGGTCTGTCAGGACCTACTCTGAATGGACCCATGGTGGCCTACAATGGTAATGGTAACAGCAATGGTTATCCGAGCGATATGGTCAATTGCTATACGGGAGTCACCGGGCATCATCATCATCAGCAACAACAGGCGCAACATAACCTCACCAATAACAATTCGTTGACGGCACTCAACTCCGGTGCCGGTCCGTATGGGCAGGCCCATCTGCGTGGCCGAACCGGTGGCCTCAACAACGGTCTCGTTGGTCATCCAGCCGGAGGCAAACTTGGGAAAGGACTCAATAACGGTGATAACCATATCTATCATTGTAACGGTATGACAGGTATCGTGTTTTGTTCTGGGCACTTTTGAAAAAAAAATAATGACAGTTTACTCTTCTCAAGTATATTTCTTTGTTTCTGTTTGTGTTGTGTTGTCGTGCGGAATCTTCTCTTTTCCTTCCATCAGAATAAAAAAATCCCCAATCCAAAAAAACGCACTTTTTGTCGCCATTTTGTGTTTTGGAAAGTTTTGTTGATGTTCTGTTTTTGATTTTGGATTTCGTTTTCCGTTTTGCCCGATCCCCCTCCGATGGACCCCTCGGCCGTTTTGTTTGTGTGCGGTCATCGTTTTTCGTTCCTTTTTCTCTCTCTCTCTCTCTCTTCAGTTGGTTCGAATTTTTGCTACTCACGACTCAGCACACTGTAAAATCACGACTCACGACACCCAGTCAGTCCCCCCACCCCTTCCACTCCCTACTGTTCTCTGGCTGTGTCTCTTTACGCGTAAACGTCACGCGCACTTGAACACTTTTTATTTGACAAACACACGCTTGATGCGCACACTCTCACCAAACACCCCCCTCCCTCATGCACCACCACCTTTGAGTTTGAGTAGTTATGTTCGTTTTCTTTTATTTTCTTATGAAAAGATCTTTATTTCTAGACACGAAAGTTAGCCAACTTGACTGACATTTTACGAACTGTATTGTTTTTGTAGGTAACCGCTCGCTCCAGGATGGCGACTACGAGGTGATCGTGGTGGACGAGAACAACTCGTCGGTGATAGCGGACAATGATTCGCACTCGAGTGGGCCGCTGTCGATCAAGGTGAGTCGGAAAATTCAGCAAATTATATGTCATAGTAGAACCGCAAGCAGCATTGTCCAACAGCCTAGCGCGGTGTTCAATTTTAGATTTTCTATTTTAATATTTTGATAAATTTGTTTAAGGATACGGTTGTTTAATCGATGTTCGAATTTGGTAGATTTAAGGTTAAGAAAAATTGTAAATGCATGTACAATTTTGTTTTGATATTACTCTCTATGTTGGCATTTGAAAAATGTGTTGCTCTTTATATGGCGCAGTTCCACGCCAAATGACGATGTCGATCAGACTCGACGACCTTCTTCGATTTGTACACTGAAGCAAATGAACGTATGAATTCCATAACAAACACTTATGAATTTTGGCCACAATATATCGATATGAATTTCATTGATTTGCCTTATGAAAAATAATGTTGACAAAAAAATTGTAAATCGGAGCAGACAGGAACCGAACCATGGACGTTGAAATTACGGGACCCGTGTGTTGACTACTCGTCTTTCAACGCTTGGGAAATTATAATGGTTAAAGGCATGTAAGAACTACCTCATGTTACCCGAAAATCATTCATAAGTTACACCTATGAAATTCATACGTGTTGTTCATAAGTAGAGCCATATGAAATTCTTAAGTCTATTTGCCTCAGTGTATGAAACTTTGCATAGTTGTTTGATATGGGAAATCATTCAAATTTTTGCTAAAATTTGGCTATTTTGGAAGATCCTAGTGTGAAAGGTTTTCAATATTTCTAAAATTTAAATATTTCATAATGAAGAGCTTTGAGTGTGTTGGTTTATTATCTTTAAATTCCGTTATAATTGCTTATCTTTTGACAGATACGCGTATTTCGTCTACTATTTGCAGACTTCATCAGTGCCAAGTACTCAACACCACTGAAGAATCCAGCTTATATCCACGAGTACTAAAAATTAGCAGGTAGTACATATTGATTAGTATTTAACTCGTAGATAAAAGCTGGATTCTTCAGTGGTGTTGAGTACTTGGCACTGATGAAGTCTGCAAATAGTAGACGAAATACGCGTATCTGTCAAAAGATAAGCAATTATAACGGAATTCATTGAAAAATGTCAAATACGCCATTAAAAAAAATTGCCAGATCCAAAATGGCCGAATTTTAGCTCAAGCAAACAATTATGCAAAGTTTCGTGCAAATCGGAGATGGTCGAGTCAAGCTGTTATTTTGCAATTTGGCGTGGAACTGCTCGTTGGAGTTTAAGTATAATAGGTTATATAATTCATAAAAATCTACGAAGCAATTGAGTTGTTTAACAAGCGAAAACCGGTTGCAATGCATCATAATGTAGTTTCAATGTATTTTTACATGGACATTCTACAGTATTACAAAACATTCATCCTAAATACAATTCATGCGTTCACAGTACTAAAACGTAATGTGAATGTCTTTAAATGTTTGCCGTACATTGCAACATCACAAAAATTAGCAGAATTCTTCTAATGTTAATCATATTTACGTATTTTTTTTATATATATTAATTTATTTGTACAGGCTCAATCGAATAAACTTTACAGAGCCGAGTTATCATTTGCATTATACATGATTAATGTCTTAAATCTAGAGTTAAAGGAATTGAACCGATTACTCGCGGTCGTCTCGAGGTTAGTGGAGATTTACAATTTTTTGGATGGGGAAAGGGAGAAGGAGGTTTGAAATATGATTTATTATACAAATATTTAATTAATCCTAAAACATGAACTTATTTCTATTCATCTTGAAAACAAACATTTAAAAAAAAACTACACGCACAATACACAAACTAAACACAAGGTTAATCAAACTTACAATCTAAGGTTAGTATTCTTAAAGTAAACATATATGAGTTTCATAAACTCCAGATCACGTCTAGCCAAAATATCCCGAACTGGAACATTAGGTTGTCTACCTCGAGCCCGAAGGGAATCATAAAAATGTGATCTGACTCCACGATGCTCAGCACAAGACCAAAGGATGTGATCGGCGTCTTGGTAACCTTGTCCACATTCACAGAGATTGCTGTCTCCCAGCCCAACACGAAACAAGTGAGCGTTTAGCGAATAGTGATTGGACATGAGGCGAGACATCAGACGAATGAAGTCTCGACCCACATCCAACCCCTTGAACCAAGGACTCTTCGACACCTTAGGGATGATCGAGAATAGCCATCGTCCCAAACTCCCTTCACTCCATTTATTTTGCCAGCTGGCGAGCGACTGTTGACGATAAATGAAGAAAAATTCATTGTAGGCGATTTGTCGATCGTAAATATCGCCTTGCATAGTGCCCACCTTAGCAAGTGAGTCCGCCTTCTCATTGCCCGGAATCGAGCAATGAGATGGGACCCATGCAAAGGTGATGACAAAAGATCTTAAAGATAAAGCACTCAGAAACTCTCGTATTTTCATGAGAAAATACGAGGAGTGCTTTACTGGCCTCATGGAGCGAATAGCCTCGACAGAACTGAGACTATCCGTAAAAATAAAATAGTGATCTGGTGCAAGTGAGGCGATCGTTTCTAGCGTATAGTGTATTGCCGCCAGTTCAGCAACATATACGGAACAAGGAGCTTGAAGCATTCGAGAGGCGCTATGAAATTCGTTAAAAATACCAAAACCAGCGGACGACTCTATTAGTGATCCATCTGTGAAGAACGATCTTGCGGAATCAACTTGGCCAAACTTTGCAGCGTAAATTGACGGAACAATCATGGAACGATGATGTTCTGGGATTCCACGAATCTCCCGCGTCATAGATAAACCAAAACTAACTGAATTGCCGAAGTCGGAGAAGCATACACGATGGGGATTATGCTGTGAAGGGCTGACATCCTGAGTTATGTACACGTAGTACAATGACATAAAACGAGTTTGAGGGTTTAGCTCAAGAAGCTTCTCAAAGTTTTCGATTACCAGTGGGTTCATAACTTCACAACGGGTGAGGAGCCTGTGGGACAATTCCGAAAACCGATCCGATAGTGGCAACATGCCCGCCAACACTTCGAGACTCATCGTATGAGTCAAGTGCATGCATCCTAACGCGATACGAAGACAACGATACTGGATACGTTCCAGTTTGATGATGTGAGTTTTAGCCGCCGACTGGAAGCAAAAACTACCGTACTCTAAAACCGATAAAATCGTTGTCCGGTACAACGTTAGAAGATCTTGCGGATGAGCTCCCCACCACGTTCCGGTAATTGTTCGAAGAAAATTGATCCTTTGTTGGCATTTTCGTCTCAGATACTCAATGTGGGATCTCCAGGTGCATTTGGAATCGAACCAGACCCCAAGATATTTGAAAGACATGGAATGAGTGATCGGCTTACCCAAAAGTTGAAGCTTCGGTTGTGCTGGGCTATGCTTCCTAGAAAAAACGACCAACTCAGTTTTCTCCGTGGAGAATTCGATACCTAGCTGGATAGCCCAAGTAGACGAATTGTCTAAGGTATCCTGTAAGGGTCCTTGCAGGTTGACCCCTTTGGGCCCTGTCATAGACACTACGCCATCATCTGCAAGTTGTCTCAACGTGCAGTTGTCACTTAGACAATTGTCAATTTCTCTGACGTAGAAATTATACAAAAGGGGGCTTAAACATGAGCCCTGGGGGAGACCCATGTAACTAAGTCGAGAAGCTGTAGAGTTTCCATGAGAAAAGCTCATATGTTTCTCTGACAGCAAATTGTACAAAAAGTTATTAATTAATGGGGAAAGGCCACAAGCGTGGAGTTTGTCTGAAAGGACTTCAACCGATACTGAATCAAAAGCCCCCTTAATATCCAAGAACACAGAAGCCATTTGCTCTTTTTTAGCAAAAGCCAACTGGATTTCTGTGGAAAGCAACGCGAGACAGTCGTTCGTTTCCTTCCCCTACGGAAACCAAATTGAGTATCTGAGAGTAGGTGGTTCGTCTCAACCCATTTGTCGAGGCGACAAAGGATCATTTTCTCCAACAATTTTCGAATGCACGATAACATCGCGATGGGACGATACGAGTTATAATCTGACCTGACGCGGGTTTTCCAGGCTTTTTAATGGCTATAACTCTCACTTGCCTCCAATCATCCGGAACAATATTGAGCTCCAGGAACTGACAAAACAAGTTCAACATGCGCCTCTTAGCGACGTCTGGGAGGTTCTTCAACAAGTTGAACTTGATTCTATCAGCCCCCGGAGCCGAATTGCCACACGAAAGGAGCGCGAGTGAGAGCTCCAGCATTGAAAAAGGCTGGCTGATCTCGTCTACCGAATTCGTCGTTTTGCGAGGAATCATCTGTTTTTTTTTTTTTTTTTTTTTTTAATCTTTATTTTAGAGATTTTTAGCCTGAGGCTAGTTCATCTCTTAGGAATCATCTGTGCCGGCACGGAATCAGGACATACTTTTCGCGCGAACTTGAGAATCCACCGATCCGAGTACTCCTCGCTCTCGTTGTTTGAAGACCGGTTACGCATCCTTTGCGCCGTGGTCCAAAGCGTATTCATCGACGTTTCGCGCGATAAATCGTCCACGAATTGCCGCCAGTATCCGCGTTTCTTGGCTTTGATGAGGCTCTTGAGTTCGTGTTCAAGAGTCGAGTACGCTTCGAAATACTCGGGTGTTCCGCGTTTCCGGAAAAGCTTAAACGCGTCGGACTTTTTACGATAAACCTCAGTGCATTGCTGGTCCCACCAAGGGGTAGGAGGTTTCCTACGAAAAGACGTTCCTGGAACCGGCCGAGTTTGAGCTCGAAGCGCGCTGTCCAAGATCAGATTGGAGAGGAAGTTATATTCCTCCAACAGTGGAAGCTCTTCTACCGACGACACGGCTTCATCTATCGCGGTCTTGAACGTTGTCCAATCGATATTACGGGTGAGGTCGTACGCGACGTTAACGGATTCCGACGAATTGAACCCACTGGCAATCGAAATTTTGATCGGCAAGTGATCACTACCGTGGGGATCCTGGATCACATTCCACGTGCAATCCAACGATAATGAATTAGAGCAAAGTG